TTTTTTTTTTTTTTTTTTTTTTTTTTTTTTTTTTATTGAGGACAGAAATTCAAGCCACTTGGGGGCATTTACCAAGCTGCATGCTTCAGTTCTGGAAATAGAAAAGATTTAAAGTCAAGTCAGTAACCATTATTTATAATGAAAATATATACAAATAATATTCCCTATGCAAGCATACAATGGAGCTTCAGAATGCAAAACTGAAGAGAAGTAAAAGTATAACAGCTCAAGCAATGTGAATTGAATCATGTGGATAATACTTCGGCATTCAATCTGTTGCATACCTAGAAAAGTCCTAGTGAACATAAAAAGGTCTTTTAACACAGTTTATTTTGTCAGTTTAGTTACCTCAGTGTGTCTCATTTCTGCATACAGTTTGTATACTATCTGTATATGTAAGATTTACTACTGATATAGTTACATCAGTAAAACTCCTTAGGCAGATGCAATAATTATCTGTCTAGGTGCAGTATATGGCCCCATTACCCTTTTACCTGAGCCCTTCAGAATTCTTAATGTATTTATTTTCACTGCATTCTTGAGAAGTAAGAAAATAATATAATCTCTATTTTTATAGAGGAGGAAAATATGGCAGAGTCACTAAGTAACTTGCCCAACATGACAAAAGAAGTCTGTGGTGGAGAAAGGAGCCTCTGATCTGGTGAGTGCCCTGACTATAAGATTATGTGAGCTATTACTTACAAAGATGCATTATGTCGGTATTCCTGATTCTCCTTCCTAAATGATACCTATGTAAGGATTTATACCCTTTTAACTGTCCAGACCAGGCAGGTATGCTGTTTTAACTGTATAAGTGACTGTCTTGTAAGGTAATGGTACTACTGCTACAGTGACTTTTTAAAGATAATTTGGACAAGAATTTATGGTGTATGAAAGTTAAGAGCTTGGAATGTTATGGAAAGTATTGTGCGTTATCACACTCACATAGGTGTCTCGTCTTTGCTATTCCTGCCTTTGGCCTCTGTACAGCTCCACCAACATGTCATAATTTGCACATCCTTTTCTCATCCTTTTCTCATTCCAGTTCTGAATATTTGCTGAGCATATAGTCAATT